TTTTAAGAAAAGAAATAAAGAAAGAAACTTAATTTTATTTGTCCTCAATGAACTATATTTTAAAATCTTTAATTTAACATGACCTGTGGTGGTAGAGCCTAATTTTGTATAATTATATTTATGCTTCTAAATATATAGTAAGCTTAAGTAAAAATTTTCAATAATAAAGATTAATTTTAGAGATTAAGATATTTGGTATGAGAGAATAAGACTATGTTTTTTCATTGTAAGTAAATGAATTTCATTTTTGAAGTAATAAGAATCTTATATTAATAATCTTAGAGTGTTTCATGTAAGAAGAAAAAAAATAAAACTTTATGAAAAATCTTCAAAGCTAATATGAATTTATAAAGTGAAGGAATATGAAAAAAATTTTATTTTAAGAAGAGGATAGTAAAGTTCAAAATCATTAAAGGCTATCCAAATATAGTAATCCTCATATATAAAAAAAAAAGGAGAAAAGAAAAAAGATTGAAAATGATCCTGAAAGAAAAGAAAGATATGAGGAGAAACTTGAGGAGATGCCTAATCAAAATTTGACTTCACTTAAATCAACTTAATAAAGAAGACTTGATTACATTTCTAAGCTTATTTATAAAGTATTAACATCCTGTATTAGCATATTTACTAATAAAGTTTTCATGAAGACTTTTAGATCTCTTTCATATGGATAATCTAAGGGACTTTAATATGAAAATTTGAAATTTTCCTTGAAAAGAATAGAGAATCAGAAATCTTAGACTTGACTGCTAGATATTCTTATACCTTTAGTATTAACTGAAGTTATTTTAAATTTTTCTTAAGTTATGCTATTATATTTAGTAGACCAAAATGTGGAAATCTAGAAGTTAAAACTCTTTGCCATAAGTCATTTTTATATAGTAAAGGAATTATTTGAAGACAAGTAACATTTAAGTTTGAGGGATTTTGATGCACAAAAAATATATGCATTTTTAGACCTTTATTTTATACTCATTTTTGGTGATATTGCGCTTTAAAACAAGATAATTTTTATGTCTTGCTGCAGGTTGATGATTTTCAAGACTTGAAGCAAAAATGAAGCAAAAATGATGAAATTTAGGGTCCGTTTGGGGCAGCTTATAAGTGCGGGCGGCGTTTTGAAACCCCCGCCGCCGTACCTTTTGGTTCGCGCGTTTCGCCAGCTTATCTGAAATTTCGTTTCGGTTTTTACACTAAACGCAGGACGCGGGTCGACCCCTGTGGCCGTCCCGCGGTCCGCGTTTCAGGATAAGCAGCTTATCCTGAAACGCACAAGCTGCCCCAAACGGACCCTTAGAGTCAAAATAACGTTTTGGAAAAAAATACTCAACGTCGACGACGCCAACAAGAAGCAGGAGTCCAGAATATTGTGGGCGCCGACGACGCCATTTGACAGAGAGCACAAAATTAAATTCGGGCTACGGGCGCTAATGTAGGTGCTGGGCAAAATTCTAGAAGATTCGATGAATTTGGACGCTTTTTGAAGAGTTATTGGAGACGCCTTTTAGAAAACTGACATTATGTCTTATTTAGAGCCTGACATTATGCTTTATTTAGAGTGAAAATTGCTCAGAAAAAGTGGTAATTAGAGGGGGCTAGAGGGTAATTGAGTTTACTTGAGTGTTCTATTGTTTAGTGTGGTGAGTCTGAGTGTGATTTTGTCCTAAGAGTTGTTAAGAGAGGGAGAGAAGTGAGAGATTTCTTCTTCCATACATCTTTAAAGAGAAAATCAAGAGTCTTGTAAAGAGAGAAAGAGTTCAAGAGAGGCTACAAGGGATTTGTTTTGAGAAATAGTTACAGATAAGTGGTTTTTGTTTATTATTGTTGTATAAACTTTCATTTATTTATGAAACTCGTATTTTGTTATATCTTTCTCATGAAGTCTGAGTAGTTTTAGTAGTTTTCTTTGTCTTTCTCCTTTCTTTCTACTCCTGAGATATGGTGAAATGAAGAGATAATTGGATGTGTCAATTTTAAAATATAAAATAAATTATCATGATTTTTCCACTATGTTCTTAATTTACTTTTCGATCTGGCCAATTGAAATGTTAAAATTTGTTGTGGAACATATGATCCGGGAAATAGAGTATCAGTTCTACAACAATGTGAGAATCACATTCAATTTTATAAAGGAGTGTTTCGTTCAGGGAATTGAGTGCAAATAAATAGGGAAATATATATTATTGAGCGAAGAATTGGAGATTTTAGGGTGACAGACTAAAATCACACCATAAAATCTCCAATTTGGGCTTAATGTTTAAGAACTAAAGTGAGAGTTAGCCTTCAGGGGAAGGGAAGTAGGAACTCTGGAGTGAGAGCCAGTATCCTCCCAATCTAACCACAAACTTAAAAACTAAACCTAAAATTAACCAACGATTCTCTAGAACACTTGACTAAGGGTAGAGAATTAAAATTGCTCCTATTTGACACAATATAAATTGAAACCATTTATCTCTTTCATTAAACCAAAAACTCATTGTGGTGGGAAAAATATTTTCTAATATTTGATAACTTCATCACAGAAACATAGTTTGATAGTTATAGTTTAACTTTACTTTACAATATTGCTAGTAGTTGATAATTTAGTTTTGATAGCACCTTAAACATTTGAAATTAGTATAGTAGACTTTCTTTATTATTGTGAAATTCTTAATTTAAATTGTCATCTCAAATTTAAACATTCCCCGTGCGATCGATATTTGGGGCTTAAACAGAAAGTCCTGTATTACTTGATAACGATAGTATACTTGCGTAGAATCTCAACATAAATTGCTTCAATTACTTATTAATAAATAAAGAACCAAGTTTTTGGCATCGCTGCAAAGCAAAGTTATCTTCATTAATTTTACAAAACTATAATTTTCAGGATTAGTTTCCATGAAGCTAAAATTAATCTTAAATTTGTATAAGAAAATTGTAGTCATATTTTCAGCATTTTGCCCTAAGTAAATTGAGTTGTGCTTGAAGAAACAATAGAAGTTTGTGCAAATTTTATCTTACTACATATATATGATTTTATAGTACCGAGATTTACATCATAACATTTAATTTTTATGTATTTACATATATACAACACTTAAACTTCAATTTTTACATACATACCTCACTACTTATGCATGCAAAGATATATTCAACTTTTTAAAATTTAAAATTGTGGTATTTTTTATTTGATGGAAAAGTAATTTTATTTCATTGCTTTTCTTTTTAATTCTTTTTCATTCTATATAGAGTTATACGTGACAAAACCCAAAACAAAGTTGAAGAAGACAGCTCTCCACAACTTTTCTTTTTTGTAACAAATCCAAGAAAACAAGTACCAACCGTGATATGCACCGCATCAATAGAAACAAGACATTCTAAACTTAGCATCCGAAATAATAAAAATAAAAAATATTATCAGAGATTTTTTTTTTTGAAATAAATCTTGATGTTAAAAGTGAAAGGACACAATGGAGAAAAGGTTCATGTAGCCGACCCCACTTGGTGAAATAAAAGTTTTGCTGTTGTAGTTATTGTTGTAGCTGTAGTTAAAAGTGAAAGGCATGATTCATGATGTATGAACCTAAGAATGTTATTAAGAGGTAATTTCATCATTAAGTCATGTGAGTACTATAATATTCTAAAGACACGAGAAAGCCAGATAGATACAAGAAGTTAATGTAAAATAAATAAGATTGGTTCAGGACAATATCTTCAAGAAGAAAAGAAGCAAAATTTTGCAACATAATAGTCATCATATTTCTTTACTTGTATTAAGAAAATGTGACAATCTAAAATTTATAAAATACAGTGTAAGAGTTGTTCAAAGAGATAGAAGGTATGGTGGAACAAGTTCATAAATCACGTGCTAAAAATGAACAATAAATACTTCAACATTTGTGAGGATAGTTCCATCAGATTGAATTGCATGTATTTTTCCCATAAGCTAGAGAGAAAATAAATATAGTAAATAATTAATCAGTCTAATGTATAATTAAAAGATAAAGTTTTTTTATTAAACATGTAACCAAATGAATGAAAGAAAAAAAATAAAATTGCATTAATCCAACCCGAATTAGATGATCCAAGATTTTCGTTTGACAAATGTGAACTTGATGAACTCGGTGAATTTTTGCATGTAGTTTTGTGATGACCTTAGATGCCACAATAACCGCATTTTTGAATACTTTTTTTTATTTTTGGACCATTCTTCTTTAGGAAGTTCTTGATCATTTTTTTCTTCAGTCTTTCTTTTGGTCGCAAACTGTTGGGCACACCAACGTACTTCAGTCCAAAATAGTAGAAATTTGGTCCTTAAATGATAATTTGTATCTATAATAAAAACATAAATACTATTAACATAGGTGGTAGTAGAGAGAAGTTATAAATTTGTTTTTTACATCACTGCAACCCTATCAATATAGTAGCAATCATAAACGTAAGTATGCCACAATGGGTAATCTCTGGTGTCAATAAATGCTGCAGCATTAATACATTGTAATCTATGACTTGCCAAATTTTGCAGGTACATTCTCTACTTTCAATATTCACTTCTTGCTTTTTACAGTGCCCTTAAACCTCCCCTTAAACCTCAGCTTTATGAGCTGATGATTGGCGCACAAAAGGCTGGTCCTTGGTAGTGCTAATATTTTTTGTGTAATCGTACGCATGCAACACTAGTATACCTCTCCATTTTGATGACTTCAATTTCCTGACTGCCCTTAGTTTTATAAGCTTAGCTCTCAACATATCAAGTAAATTAACCACAGGCTTGCTCCTATCTTCTTCAATCCATGCATTGAACGATTCAACCACATTGATTGTATTATAATGATTTCCTTTGACACATAAGAATTTGCTTATCGACCACTTACAAATCAAAGATAATAAATAAGAGCAAATATGTGGGCACGTAATGCATATCTCATTTATACTATACTTATACTGGCTTTTAATATATGCATTAGCATCCAACAACACTAAACTTTTAATCTTTTGTCTTTCATAAAATTTTTTTCAAGCTCTTCCATAGGTGGTGCAGACACTCTCTATGGTCCGCAGTTGGAAAAACAAAATGATTGCTTCTTTGAGGCCTTGCACCATTTAATATAATTGCTAAGTTTCGTAAGTTTGTGCCAATTAATTCTACAAAATTTTCTAAGAACCATTTCTACGAATTCTTTGACTCATATTCAACAATTACAGATACAATTGTAAATAATCTGTAATTACCATCCAATGAATTTGCAGATAATAGAGCACCCAAGTATTTTGGCTTCAAATGGCTAACATCAAGTCCAATGAAGTCTCTACAACCTTTCAAGAAAACCGATAAATTTTATAGCTTACATAAAACCTCTCAAAGGTTGAATCGTTTTCACCCCATGTATATGTAATATGTGATCCTACATTTTTATTAATTTGTTATGCTTATTGTGCTGGTACCCATATGTAGTTATCATCAACTGAATAAAAAATTCTCTCTCGAGCTTTTTATCTTGACCTTCCTACTCTCATATAGGGAAAAGATAAATTATATGTGCTCTGTATGTCATTCTTAATCTATTTTGGAGTCATGTCATGATTTTTTCTTGGTAGGGTATTCAATTTCTTTTGTTATCCAAGAGATTGTTGCCTGTTTATTTCCTGCTTTATACAAAGCTGAGCATTTATGTTTTTGTTCTAATTTTTTAACCTCAAAAGTATCAGCGTTACACCACATAATGCCGCTGGTATTCTCCAAGAACAACCTCGATAGGAACATATAACAACAACTCGGGTTTGATTACTATGTGTCACATTTAGGTTGAAGTTTCTTTTTTGATGACATAAGATCTGAGAAAAAGGATTCATGTAGCCGACCCCACGTAGTGGGATTAAGGCTTTGTTGTTGTTGTTGTATAAGATCTGAGAGCTTGTTTGGCACTTTGAGAATTACAGAAATGGGTCCCAACCAATAAATCTTTTTTCTTCCTTAGCTTTGGTTATCACAATCTCTTCACGACAAGACATTTGATCAATCTAAATATTATCAATACCATTTGGGCTTGAGTGGTAAAAGCCTAACATGACTGTCTTCTTTTATTTCTTGGCTATTCGAGCATATAATAACTTGTCTCTCATCTTGTGTTGTGACTAACGCTACAACGTGATCATTTGCACTAAATTGCTTAATTGTTTTTTGTCAATTCAACGTCATTAATGATAGTCATGTACTCTTTTAGTGATGTGACATATAAGAGAAAATGTAGCTCAAAATTATGTCCTCTAAGCTAAGAATATATGGACTCAATCTCTTCCTTCAACACATGTAAAGTCAACGTTTCTTTTTCAAATTCAACAATTCTCTGATCCCACCATCATATCTCTTTCTCGTTTGATTTTTAACTTGAGGCCAATATCCACCATATTTAAATATGATAACCTATATATTGTCTTATTTTCCATTAATGTGATACCAGAAAAATGTGAGGTCTACAAAACTTATCAACTATTCTCTCCAATCTGCACAATTATAAGAAAAAGAATATATTATTATTAATAAATAAGAATTGTGCAATGTATGTAAGTTTACGGTATGAAAATTTGACAAAAAAAAGGGAAAAAAAAGAAAAGAATGTTAGATTTATAAACAACAATGTATCAATTGCTCTATATACATTTTTGGGCAATACAATAATAACGACAAAAGTTGAAATAAGTTCAAAATGATGGCATGAGTAACATAAAAAGGCACTAATTATACATGCATGATTTGACATTTTTATAAATAATTAATGTTGGGCGACATCTTTCATGTTGTTATTCTTTCACTTCATTTTAATCTATTCTCAACTACACATATCCTTTTGAATGTTGTGCAAAAATCTATCATGAAATTGAATATCATAATTAGAATTCCAAACTCCTACAAATTGTAAACAGATACTATATGCTTTTACATCAAGATTGTGCTCAAGAAAATTGATTTAATTAATAATAATCTGTTTAAACATGCTATAAATGATGCCATAAATACAGGTTTTCATTCTTCCCTCATCTTGAAGCTGCTCATTTCACAGTTGAGCATTGTGAATGCTAAACTGTTAAGTCCAAATTCCCCCGAACGTAAATTCCAACTTTACTCTTCTTAATAATAATTAGCTAAGCTAAAATATACAAATTTATATATTTCAACGTTTTAAAATGCCACATTTCTTTCAAAAAAAGATGCTTGGGCCTGAATCAAGATCAAATCTCTAAAAGAAATTTTTTAACAACATATTTTTATTTAGTCCACCATTCAGGAACATCTAATTTCAGTTGAAGATGAAAAAAATATGTATAAATCAAAGAAACGAATTCATAAACAGCAATCCAACAAACCACAATCTGCCATCACTTTAGCACGAAGTAAAGATTAGTTTAAATTCCAAACAAATAAAATTAAATATAATGGAAGTTGGACTTAAAAAGTTTTACTTCTCTTGATTGTATGGGTCCCTATTGAAGCCATATTTTTTACAGATGCTAATTTTAGAGAACGGCGTGGCTAAAAGATAGTGTTGCTTAGGTAAATATCAAATTGTTCATTGTCATGACAATAAAATCCCCATTAAAAAATAGTCTTATTTGACATTTAATAATATAAGCAACTAATGTAATTTTTAAATAAAAAAAATTCAGCAATAATTAGCATATAATATTTTTCTAAGATGAAGATGTGCTTTAAATGGAATAAATTATTAAGTGTGAGAGATAGGCCTGCCTTGACTCCTTCATGTTTTTAATGGACGAAATTTTAAACTTGTTAATTTATGTGGGATTATAGATAGGACTGTCAAAACAGCTAGTTGTCTACGAACAACTCATGTTTGATGTTCGGCTCGTTTTGGCTCGATATACTACTCATAAATTATATATATATGTATATATATATATATATATATATATATATATATATGAGTAGTATTTTTAAAAAATTTGACTACAAGACTACAAATATTTATAATCAATTAAAAGTATTAATTAAAAAAATAAAATAAAAGTGTTAAATTAGATTAAAATGATGTTTTAATATAAATGATAATTTCTAAATCTTGTCTCAATCTTCAACATCTTATGGCTACATGATTAGGGTTGTCAAAACGACTATGTTCGTGAACGGTTCGTGTTCAGCTCGCTAAGCAAACAAACCGAACATTAACACACTTTTGGAGCTCGAAATATAAACGAGCTTCGGCTAGTTTACACCCCTAATTATAGATTAGAGGCACATATGTTTCTTGGCTTATACTAGAGCTAAACTATACAAATTAACTGCGAAGCCAAAGAGACAGGAAACCCAATAATTAAAAAACAATCGATGTGCGAGATTCACATTTAAATTATTAAAATTAGGAAAGATATTTCGTCCGACCGTTATGCGAGATTCACACGCTTCGGACGTCGACGTCGTACACAATATTTTCCCCAAAAATTAGAGGGGCGAGGAGGTGAAAGAATAGAATAGAAGGCGACGCACCTTCTCCTCCCCGCAAAGCCCCCCCAGCCACTCGTCTATGGCTTGCCTTCCCCCATTCCAGACTATAACCTCCCCCTTTCTTCCTTTCTCATCCCCTAACCTGCCTGAGGCCCCTCCAAGGGTTTATACGCGATGGTGGGCATTGGCTGCTTCCCATCCCTCCACCACCCTCTCCTCATTCTGCTCCTCTCCTGCACTCTTCTTCCCTTTGCCTCCTCAATCTCCAGCCTCAATGCCGCTTCCATTGCCCGTCGCCAGCTCCACAACCTTCCTGAAAACGGCGACCTCGCCCGCCACTATGAGTTCAACGTCAAAACCGGCGACAGCATAAAAAATCCTCGCCTCCACCGCGCCTACGTCGCCCTCCATGCCTGGAAACATGCCATATATTCCGACCCATTCAACATTACAGCCAATTGGGTTGGGCACCATGTCTGCAACTACACCGGCATCTTTTGCGCCCCCGCCCTCGATGATCCCTTTGTCGACGTCGTTGCCGGTATTGATCTTAACGGCGCCGATATAGCCGGCTATCTCCCCTTCGAGCTTGGCCTCCTCACCGACGTTGCACTTATCCACATAAACTCTAATCGCTTCTGCGGAATCATTCCCAAAAGTTTATCTCGCCTCTCTCTCCTCCACGAGTTGGACGTGAGCAACAACCGCTTCGTTGGGCCTTTCCCCTCTGCCGTAATCACCATGCCCGCTCTCAAGTATCTTGATCTCCGCTACAACGACTTCGAAGGCCAACTTCCCGCTGAGCTCTTCGAAAAAAACCTTGATGCGGTATTTCTCAATGACAACCGCTTTCATTCCTCCATCCCGGAGAACCTAGGCAGCTCTCCTGCTTCCGCCATCATTCTCGCTAACAACCATTTCTTTGGTTGCATCCCGAGAAGCGTCGGCGACATGTCGGGAAGCCTTAATGAAATCCTATTCCTTGGAAACGATCTCTCAGGTTGCCTGCCGCCGGAGATCGGCAAGCTTGGTAATCTCACCGTGTTCGATGCCAGCAACAACTTCTTTTCCGGCTCCGTGCCCAAGACTTTCGCAGGGCTCAGCAGGGTCGAGGAAATTAATCTGGCTCGTAATTTACTCACCGGAGTTGTTCCCGCACAAGTGTGCAGGTTACCCAAACTTAGGAATTTGAAATTCTCCTTTAATTATTTCAAAGGCAGTGCTGCTGAGTGCTCCGCTGCGTCAAGGCCTGGAGTTGTGTTCGACGACAAAAATAACTGCATTGCCGACCGGCCTAAGCAGAAAAAGCCCGAAGTATGCGAGCCTTTGGTGAGAAAGCCGGTCGACTGCAGCAAGTCTAAATGCGCTGGTAGCTCCGGTGGATCCCCACCGTCCAAAAGAAAGCCCTCTCCGAAGCATAGCCTGAAGCCAATTACCCCCGCGCCGGCAGCCCCAATTCCTTCTCCATCTCCATCTCCTGTGGCTGCCAGCCCCACTCCGGCGCTGGTGATGCCGCCATCTCCGACTCCCTCGCCGAATCCATCTCCGACACCTTCGCTGAACCCATCTCCGACGCCAGCTCCAATGCATGCCCCAGCACCTGAACCCAACCCTGTTATTAGCTCGCCTCCGCCTGTGGAGGAGGCACCATCTCCTTCGCCAACGGAGGTCTCCCCAGTTGCGCACACCAGCTCCCCACCTCCGCCAGATTCTAAGCCGCCTCCTCCACTGAGCTCACCAGCGCCTCAACCTGCTGAAGTTCCCAATAGACCAACTCCGTCGAGCTCAACACCTCCACCACCGTCACCATCGCCGTCACCACCACCAGCAGTGCAATCACCACCACCTGCCGTGAATTCACCACCACCACCACCACCACCGACTCCGATGTACTCACCACCACCAGCACCAGTTTTCCACTCCCCAGCCCCGCCAGTGTATGCACCGCCACCACCATTGATCCACTTACCACCACCTCCGCCCGTCAACTTCCCTCCACCTCCAACAATAGCATCGCCGCCACCGCCGCCCAACTTCTCATCACCACCGCCACCTTACTCGCCATCAGAATATCCAGATATTGTGAACCTCCCACCCACCGGTGGATATAGTTACGCTTCTCCGCCACCGCCGATTTACCCTGGCTATTAATGAATAACGAACTTGGAAAATGAGGTCGCCCACAACTTTTGATAGGAACCATGGCTAATACGAAGATCTAATCTCTTTATTGTTCCTGTGATAAAATTTACAATACGGCGAGAATATAAAGAGAAAATTTTTCGATTTGCTTTGTGTTTATGCTACAAATAAGACGAAGAGGGAGAGGAAGCTGAAAAATGTTATAGAATAAATTATAAATTTTATTTGTTGATATCTTTTTCATAGTCTTATATTTATTTTCCCTAATAATTTATGACTTTGTACAAGAATATTTAAATGTTATCTATTCCCTTTCATCTGTATTATATATTATGAAGCACATGAAATTAACCCATATATGATTCTTTTATCTATTATATGTCACATCAAAAATATCCAAGCAAATATGTTTATTTTATGTCATAGACTTGTTGGGTGTAATATAAAGACAAATGGTCGCACCTTACTAATTTGCTCGAGTGAGATGAATAAGTAAAAGATAATAGTTACAATTAATATATATATATATATATATATATATATAGTTAAAAGGAATGGCCGGAGGCTATTACACAAGCCTTGGGCTATCTCACAAGCCTTGGGCTATCTATATATATATGACGTGTTAAAATTAAGATTTAGTATTAATCAAAACAAATTAGCAACACCTAATTTCCTAAATAATTAAATAGCTTAAAGAAAAGTTTTTTTGGGGGGGGAGGGAGGGGGAACAGTCAAACTAATCAAATAAAATGTACTACAGTTTCAATTGTGCTTAAGTAAAAATATGACTGATGCATGCTAGAAGATTTACAGTGGTAAAATAATTATTTATCTTTCTAGAACACAAAAATTTCAAAGACTAAGAAAATAAATGTGACTCGTAGAAACACCATAAGTTTACAAAGAAAACTTGAAAAAAGAAAAAAATTACGGGGCCCAATTCAGTAAAAAATAATCCATTATAGCTTAATGAGCATAAATACATACCCTAGTCCCATATACGAGAAATGGTAAAACACTTCCAGTGCTCCTATCCATAAGAAATCACTGCACAATAGTCAGAAGCGGTTGCAATTGATGGAACTTCAGTACATCATCTTTGAGGTGCTTCACTGCACAGTTTTCGGGATGACGTGTTGCTCCGTAGAATGCTTCACAACTGTGGCCACTACTCCACGCATTACTTCGTCAATCCACAATGTTAGTTGCTACTCCACACCACACTTCATTACTCTCAAACATTTGTTTTTGTTTGACATGCTTAAAATATGTTGTTTTTAATTGTACATTTAATGTCTATTTTTAATGATATTGCGTTTTAATGAAACATATTTTTGATGTTTTTAGTTGTAGGTACACTAAATAGAGTAAATGAGCAAATGGAACGAAAATGGAGAAAGTTGGAGTCAAATGAAGCAAAAAGGAAAATGTTGCTCTGGCGCCTAGGCGCCAAACAACAGAGAGCCTGACGTCTAGGTGCCAGGATTTGGCACCTAGCCGCCAGAGCGATTATTCAAAAGGCTCATTGAATTTTGACAAACTTTGAAAAGGTGTTTGAAGAGACTCTTGGGGATTTTGAGAGCTATATTTAAAGAGAATTTTAAAGATTCAAAAGAGAGACTTTTGGGAGGAGGAAAAAGTGGATTCCTCCTAAAGAGAAGAAAGCCTTGAAGACTTTCTTAGGACTTCGAGGAGAAGAGGAGAAGTGAGAGATATCTTCTTCACTGCAGATTCTAAGTAAGTTTGGAGTGAATTGTAAGAAGAGTTAGCGATTCAAAGAAACTTAAAGGATTGCTTCGGAAAGAGTTTAAGATAAGTTATGTACCTTGTTTATTTTAATTTGTCATGTCTTGTAAAGTTTTAGTTACCTATAAATACATTTCTTGTTGTTTCTTCCGCATGAGATATGAGTAGTTTCCTTTGTCTTTCTCTCTGCGATGAGGAATAATTATATATAGAAATTTAGTTTAGTAGAAGTGCTTTTGAAATTCCATAAATTATTTTGATTCAAACTCTATGCTTCATTTACTTATCAATATGACCAATTGATTTGTTAAAATTTGTTGTAAAACGTAGCGACCCGAAATGAGCTATGCTCCAACATAGTAAGAATCACATTTTGTCTCATGGATGAGAATGTAGTCCTTCAGTTTAAGTGCAAATAAATAGAAAAATAATTTTTGATGAGCGTAGAATTGAAGATTTTAGGGTGACAGACTAAGATCCCAAATTTGGTCTGGATGTTTGGAAACTAAAGTAAGATGTTATCCCTCAAGGGAGGGAAAGTGGAACATCTAGAGTGAGAGTTAGTATCTTCTCAGTCTAACCACTTGTTTAGGGACCAAACTCTGGATTAGTGATCCTGATTTTATATGACAATACGATGTATGCAGTTGTAATTTTAATTTTTCCTTACTTATAAATCTTACATTGTAATGGTGTTAAAAACTTGATCACCGACAATAGCTAGGAAAAAATTTGACTTCGAAGCAAATAAGAATATAATTATTATATTTAAATATGGGATTGTTGACCTCACTTTTGGGTGAGGGTTTTGGGTCTTTCCTTTAGTGACTAGGATCTAGCCTTAGGATTTTCCTAATGACAATCTTAGCATCTTAGAAATGGTACCCACCTTCTCCTCAGACATTTCAACCAAATCTCTGTTCTCTATGTTGGTTCTATATGTGAGCAATAATCTTTAATACAAAGATTATAGATTACATAAGAGAACTCTGATGAGAATTCATATAGGACCTTTAGACCATAGGAAAACCTTGCACTATTCTTCATCTTTTTGGACTTCAATACATTGCATCATCATTCATAATCATCATGATCATCATAAACATTGCATTTTCATATCACAATGTTACAATCATTATACGCATGAGGCTGACTAAAATTATTTGAACCCAGTTTCCCCTAAAATACCTCATTTGAATATTCCAATTCTTCAAAATTCCCCAAAACAGTCATTGAATCACAAAATCCACTTCAAACCATTTGATATTATCATTTAGACCATTTGAAACCCAAAAATTGCAAAAATATCCAATTTTACAAAAAAAAATACCAAAATACCCCTGGACCCCCAAAATATCAAATTTTCCAAAATCTCTCAAGGTCACCGATAAGTTCTAAAAATCACACCAAATCATTCCTTATGTCTTCCTGAGAATTTTGATTGTAATACTTTCATATTTCTGGATAACTTTTTAACACTTCGACACCAAAATAACGAATACTTAAAAAATGCTTCAGGGATCATAAAACCTTCCCCATTGATCAAAAATGACCTTGAACACTATCGTTTAACTCCAAATTTCTTCCTAAACCACCTCGAGCCTTTCAATCAACATTTTGACCACTTTGACCAAAATCAGCCAAAATTACCAAAATGCCACTCATGAACCAAAAAATTCTCAAATCCTCTAAAATTATTTCCAACGCCCCTAAAACCAATTCTTGACCTTTCATTGGATCCAATTTGACTAAGTTCACTCACTTTGACCAAAATCGTCAAATTAAGCTTAATGATCAATCAAATACCTCAATTTCAAATTCACATCAAATTCAACATATCTAAATTCAACATATCTCACATCAAATTCAACATATCTAAATCCAATTTCAATTGAATACAAACTCATTTAATTGACCCATGATCAATTTTGAAAACATTCGATCGCAAACAAAAAATTCAATGCAAATTAAATTTAACGCATTTTTGATATGACCGTCGACGAAAGTCGTCCGAACGACCCCGGATGACGAAACAGACAGCAAGAGTGCGGTCCAAATGTTGATTTTGATTAAAGGAGCTTTCATTCCATCTCGAAGACGTGTTTAAAAAAACACACAAATAATAATAATAATGATAATAATAATAATAATAACAATAATAATAATAATAATAATAATAATAATAATAATAATAATAATAATAATAATATTATTATTATTATTATTATTATTATTATTATTATTATTATTATTATTATTATTGTTATTATTA